AAAATCAAAAAGAAAAAAATTGTATAGGTCTTCAGAAGAACCCGTCCAGAAGACCTATACAATTTTTTTCTTTTTGATTTTACAAGTCCTGACACATTTTCCAAGTCATTTACATGTATAATAAATAACTTTGGTCCAAGTATAGAACCTTGAGGCACTCCATGTGATGTTACAGAGCTCAGATCTAACATTTATTTCAACAAACTGTTTCCTGTTATCCAGGTTAAGTAGATACCCACTGTAATGCTGGACCTCTACCATATTTATTTAGCTTTTCATGAAGAATTGTGTGATCGATTGTATGAAACGCTTTCTTTAAGTCAACAAAAATACTAACACAATGCTGTTTTTGATCAACAGCTGTTGTTATTTGTTCAGTTAACTCCATGAGTGCCATTGATGTTGAATTGTTGGCTCTAAACTCATACTGACTACTTCTTAAGATATTGTTCTTTTCGATAAATTGATCCAATCTGGTGTCAAATAATTTCTCTAAAATTTTTGAAAATTGAGGTAACAAGGATACAGTATTGGTCTGTAGTTGTTAAACACACATTTCTCATCATTTTTAAAAAGAGGAATTACCTTTGCTATTTTCATATTGTCAGGAAATATACCAGTTGAAAATGATAAATTACAGATGTATGTAAACAGATCAATAACATAAATCATTATTTCCTTTGCAAACATCATGTCCACCCAGTCTTTTGAACTTTTGTCTGCAAGATTTTGACGATATTCATGATTTCTTCTTTATCTGTTCCATCAAGAAAAATACTGTTAGTACAACCTGTAACTGTGTGATTCTCATTTTTATCTATTTTTGGTATTTCATTGGCAAGACTTGGGCCAACATTCAGAAATAATGATTAAATCCATTTACAATTTCATTCTGATCATGAATTTCTTTACCATCCTTTACAAAAAAGCTGTGGAATACCTGATTTTATGTCATGATTTTTCAGAACATTGTTCATTATTCACCATGTTGCCCTCATATTGCCATTACTTTTGTCAAGTAAATCACTGTAAGATTCCTTCTTTTGTTTTGTATAATCCAAACTAACTTATTTTTATACATCTTGGATCTCTCTTCCGCTTCTTTTGTTCTTAATTTTAGGAAGCATGAGTACAAGTAGTTATATTTTTTTACAAGCGTTTCTCAACCCATTTGTCATCCATGGTTTGTCGACAGCATTTCTTCTTTTCATACAGAACTCTTAAAATATTCACAAATACATCACATGCTTTGTTCACATCATACCTTAAAAAAATAACAATTTTATTGAAAAATAACTTTAGCTTTCTGAAAACAATTCAAACCAGCACAATAAAGATAAAAATATGGATTATTAGCAGCTCAATGAAGTTACTGGAGTTTAACTGCTGATAAAAAGGTGACTTTTATTCTGGGATGTTTAGGGCTAAATATGTTGTATTTATWGTGTTTATAAAGTATTTATTGATTAAAAATGGTAACTTGATGTTTGTTTTAACATTTAGGAAAATAAATGTTTTGTTTAATTCTTGAACTTACCATGATTTCAGAAATTTACCACAAAAATCACTAATCATCTGTGACAATTCTGGTTCTGAACGACTTTGTTATAAGCTGCTACAACTCAAACACACAGGACACTGCTGGAAACCAAAGTGTCCACATTTTATGACCCTCAGGACAGAAGGGAAAGAGACAAAGACCTTAATGACCCTCATGAGGCAGGGACATGAGATTTGTCTGCAGATAAATTCAGGCTCTATAATAA